AGGTCCGTGGAACCAAAGCGGATGGTCCATTATTTGCATCGGGGTGAGTCCACGGGACAGACAATCGGCAGGGTTTTCCGTACCGGACACGTGATAAAAGTTCCGCGTTCCTAACTCGTCTTGGATCTTCGCCACTCGGTTCGCGACAAACGTATCCCAACGAAGAAAACCCAACATAAGGCGACGGTTGAGTTGGAAAAGGCAAATATCCTTTCTATGTGAACTCTGTCATTACATGCGCTGATAACTGCGGTGATAAGCTTGGTGAGGACTAATATCGCGCAAAGCTCCAAGCGCGCCAGAGAGACAACCTTACGGGGGGAGACTCTTGACTTAGAGCTAATGAGGCTAATCGAATTTCTACCATTATTCTGGACGTGGAAATATACAACGCCCCCGTAAGCCTTCTCGCTGGCGTCTGCAAACCCAACGACCGTGATGACGCTATTTTTATCGACGTTTATATGACTACTATTTTAATTTCTCTTAGTAAAGGAAGTTCCTCTCTAAAACGCTGCCACAACCGAACAATGCTGTCAGGCGGCGGGTCATCCCAATCGCATTCACATAACCAAAGTTGTTTAATCAAAAGCTTAGCGTATAGTACCACCGGGGCTACGAAACCCATGACATCCCATTATCTAGCAACGCATGACAGCATTGTGCGCTTGTTGCACGTTTCTGCGGGCGGGTTTACCTTAAGGCTAAACGCGTCGGATTCTGGCGACCACCACAGATCGATCACCTTGTGCGTGCTGTAGTTTGTGCTGCCGTGTAGTGGCGGTTGAGAATATCCACTACCCCATATCTTCCCGTGGGTGTCGTAAGAGGCGACAGAGGGAGACAGGCAGGAGATGGGCAGCAGCATCTTCCTGATAACAGCAACTGTCGATAATAAAAAACTGCGGTTGCCAACCCGCTCGCCAAGCGTGGCAACTATGGCAAATATCCCCCCATGAGTAATGACGTAAAAACGGCCCCCAGTCCCCGGCGGCCCCGCTATTCCTGACTACGGTGGCGACCATGGTAACGGCGGGGCAGGGGGTGCTAAGAATCTCCGGTGGAGGTTCGGTTGCCACCTACGACGACTCCACCTGGCAACATATAACGCACGCACTCTGAGAACTGACGAGAAGATACTGGAGCTGTAGAAGAGGTAGACAAGTTGCGCTGGCATATTATTGGATTATCCGAGGTCCGAAGAGAGGGAGAAGATACGGCAATCCTCGAGTCCGACAACTTGTTCTACCACCGGGAGGGCGACCATCTGTCCCAAGGAGGTGTCGGATTTATCGTCCACAAGTCTCTCGTCAACAAAGTTGTAAAGATTGGGAGTGTGTCGACGAGGGTCGCGTACCTGATACTCAGAATCACCAAACGGTATTCGCTGAAGGTCATACAGGTTTACGCACCAACCTCGGCACATCCCGATTAGGAGGTGGAGGAAATGTGTGAAGATATTTCCAGAGCCATGCATTCCTCCAAAACCCACTACACGGTGTTGATAGGAGACTTCAACGCAAGACTGGGCACAAGAGAAAGCGGTGAGCTGAAGGTGGGGAAATTTGGAGTAGGGCAACGGAATCGAAGGGGCCAGCAGCTGGCCGACTTTACGGAGAAAGAGGGACTCTTTATGATGAACTCTTTCTTCCAGAAGCGGCCTCACAGGAAATGGACCTGGTCGAGCCCCGACGGTTCGACAAAAAATGAGGATTGACTTCATTATGACGACTGTTCAGTGATGTCTCAGTGATCGCAAGGGTGAAAACTGGCAGCGATCACCGAATAGTTATAGGACACACTGAACCTAAATGTTAAGTTGGAGAGGTCTCGGCTAATAAAGTCAACGCTCCGTACCCCTCGTGCTCTAATCCAGAATCCCGAAACCTTTCAGCTCGAGTTACAAAACCGCCTTCAGTGCCTAGAGGATTGCATTGCAGTGGACGATATGTATGACAATCTCGTGGAAACTGTCCATGCGGTCGGAGCTAAGTTCTGCAAGACCCGCCGCAGAAGAACACAAAAACTCTCCGATCACACTCTTAATCTCATGGCTGTTAGACGGGAGATGAGGCTGCAATCGTCAACAGATTTGACAGTATACAGGCAACTGAACAGACAGATCTCCAAATGCATGCGGCGAGACTTACGCAACTTTAATACTGCTCGTATTAAAGAAGCGATCGAGCGGAACCAGGGCTCCAAAGTCTTTCCCAGAGATCTGTCTGCCAGAAAGAGCCAACTTTCAAGGCTGAAGACTGAGTGTGGCAACATCGTTTCCGGGACACCTGAGATTCTGAGTGAGATTGAGAGGTTCTATGGGCAGCTGTACACATCATCGTTGGAGCCACACGCAAGTGTGAGTAACGATCCAAGAGCAAGTCTTATCCGACACTATTCGATGATATCCCGGACGTCTGTCTGAGCGAGATTAGAACGGCTCTCCACCACCTTAAAAACGGCAAGGCCCCGGGTGAGGATGGAATTACAGCGGAGCTTCTGAAATCGGGTGGAACACCGTTACTTGAAGTACTTCAGAGGCTCTTGAATTCCGTCTTCCATGGTGGCACTACTCCGAAGGCGTGGAGCAGAATCGTGGTGGTCTTGTTCTTTAAGAAAGGCGACAACGCTCTCTTGAAGAAATACAGACCGATTTCCCTTCTGAGCCGCGTCAACGTGCTGTTTTCGAGAGTCATTACGAATCGTTTCGCACGCAGACTCGACGACTTCCAGCCTCCCGAACAAGCCGGTTTCCGAAAAGGCTTCAGTACCATAGACCACATATATACCCTTCGGCAAATTGTACAGAAGTCCGAAGAGTACAATCTGCCACTTTGTCTGGCGTATGTGGACTATGAGAAAGCCTTTGATTCCGTCGAAATTTGGGTGGTGCTACAGTCTCTTCAGCGGTGCCTAGTTGACTGTCGGTATATTGAAGTGCTGAAGTGTTTGTACAGTAGGACTACGATGGCTATCCGAGTACAGAACCAGAGTACGAAACCTATCCAACTGCAGAGAGGTGTAAGACAGGGTGATGTTATATCCCCGAAACTCTTCACCGCTGCGTTGGAAGACGTTTTCAAGCTACTGGACTGGAAAGGATACGGTATTAACATCAATGGCGAGTACATCACTCACCTTCGATTTGCCGACGATATAGTCCTTATAGCAGAATCGCTGAAGGACCTCAGCACTATGCTCAATGACCTCAATGGTGTCTCCCAACGGATAGGTCTTAAGATGAACATGGACAAAACAAAGATCATGTTTAATATCCATGTCACACCTATGCCGGTAGTTGTTGGGAGCACTATGCTCGAAGTTGTTGACGAGTACGTTTACCTGGGACAAATAGTCCGACTAGGTAAGCCCAACTTCGATCGAGAGATCAATCGACGGATTCAACTCGGTTGGGCAGCGTTCGGGAAATTACGACACATCTTCTCGTTAGGTATACCTCAATCTTTGAAAACTAAAGTGTATAACCAGTGCGTGTTGCCAGTGATGACTTACGGATCTGAGACGTGCTCCTTCACCGCTGGCCATATGAGGACGCTCAAGGTCGCTCAGCGAGCTATGGAGAGGGCTATGCTCGGAGTTTCACTGCGTGATAGACTCAGAAATGAGGATATCCGCAGTGAAAACAGAGTGACCGACATAGCCCAACGGATTAGTAAGCTGAAGTGGCAATGGGCCGGCCGTATAGCTCGAAGAACCGATAACCGATGGGGAAGAAAGGTTTTCGAGTGGCAGCCTCGTACCGGTAGGCGTAGTGTAGGGCGACCCCCCACTAGATGGAGTGATGACCCGGTAAGATATGCAGGAAGTCGGTGGATGCAAGTGGCTCAGGACCGTGCTTTGTGGCATTACTTGGGGAGGCCTATGTTCAGCAGTGGACTTGTGAAGGGCTGTAATGATGAAACACGTCGGATTCTGGCGACCAACACAGATCGAGCACCTTGTGCGTATCAGAATCATCGAATTCCTTTATTGCCGAAAGACGGTGTGATAGTGGGATTGTTTCTAAAACCGGACGCGAATTACTAGTCCACTTGACAAGATCGAATTGACCCGATTTTATGAGCTTTATAACCTCCGTGGTGGTTAGGGTGGCCTCCTCCACGCTATCGACCGAGTACACAAAATCATCCATATATAATCCACTTTCAATTGCCCTCTTAGCTTTAGGATTATAGGGACCTTCATTGTAGGCGAGCTGTTTCACCGTGCGTAACGCATGAAATGGGCTAGACTTTAAACCAAAGCAAACGCGGTTAAATTAAAACACTATTAGAGGTTCTTTTGGGTTGAAACGATATAAAATGTGTTGGAATCGACGGTCGCATTCCCGGACCCCTATGCAAAGAAACATTTGGCGAATATCGGCGGATAGTGCTATACAAAACAAACGAAAATTTGCTATTATATTAAATAAACTGCCCTGTAAATTTTGCCCACTATAGAGGATATCGTTAGGAGAAAGGTGAGTGCTAGTTTTAGCACTAGCGTCGAGCACTACATGTAACTTAGACGTAAGTTTGTCTTCCGTAATGACCCCGTGATGTGGTATGAAATAGGACGGTGTATATTCGTAGTTATCTAATTTCGGACCCACAAGTGATATGTAACCTTCCCTTATATATTCGTTAATGACGCCGTCATAAGCTTCCTGTAATTGGGGTGAAGCGAGCATCCTACGCTCCAAACTGTAGAAACATTTTTCCGCCATTTGACGCGAATCGCGGAGAGATAAAACATCTCCTTTAAAGGGTAGCGCTACACTATATCGACCGTCGCGATCACGAACGGTCGTGCGGACGTAAATTTCCTCGCATAATCTATCATCTGGGATAACTACAGGTGGAACGTTCCATCAAACTGCTGATATATCCCGTGATGTCTCAGAATTAAGAGGCATCCATGCAGTTCCTTTCTGGGGAACAAGAAAGGAACTGATGGATGCTATAGTGAGAGAATTTGGAAAGCGATTTCAAAAAAAAATGGACGGCACAATACGTCAATCTACGGAACAATCCAGCCTAACCATTAGCAACTTGGAAACTAAAGTCGATTACCTAGAGCAACAAGCCAGACAATGCAACATCGAAATCTGTAACATTCCTGAAACTCGCAGTGAAAACTTTTTAAACATAATGGGATCGATTAGTATGGCTATTAACTTTCCAATTTCTCAGAAAGATATCCTGTCAATCCATAGAGTTCCCCATGCTCACCGTCAAACAAATAAGCCCAAGAATGTTATTGTGAAACTTTCATCGCGCATCCTTCGTGACAACGTACTAGCGGCTTTTCGTAAGGTGAAAACTCTCAAGACCGACCAACTAGGTCTCACCGGATCGACAATGACCGTATATATGAACGAGCATCTTACACTGAAGAAAAAACAATTATTTCGTAAAACCAGAGATCTCGCCGCTATGCACCAATACAAGTATGTCTGGGTTCGGAATGCCACTATTTTGGTGCGCGAGCAAGATGGTGATACTGCTTTTGCTATCCGCACAGATGATGATCTTCGTAAGATCAAAAGCCGTACTAAAGGTGGTAATAAAAGCGCTTGTGGTGGTTCTACTCAACATATTCAGTAATAACAATACTTTTCATTATTATCATTATTCTCCCCACCATATATCTCGATTAATTTCTTCATTAGGTGTCATTCTGTATTACACGTTTTTATTAATGATTTTTATCGTTCTCTCATCCAAAAATGCAAACAACAAGTCAAATTATATAATTAATACCTTTGAAATTAAATTTTCCTTACGCTATGTTACGTTAGTAGGGTTATATTGTACTATTGCATTATGTTACACTTTTTTGAAATATTTATATTTATTTTATGGAGTATATATTACTATAAATAGTGCTATTATGAAATCATTTGGCATGGTAACAGTATATAAACTAAACTTTTTTAAACATAAAATAAAATGTGTGCCTTACGTCAAAATTAAAAATAATGCTCAGTTTAATTATAAGTTTATAAACATACTTGTATTAATAAATTGTATGTTGATCCTAGGTTTATTATTATGCAATCGTCTTGGCCTCTATTTTGCCATATGTTGTTACACTTTGATAAGTTACAAACTTTTCAATCCTTTTAATTACTACGATTATGTGTTACTTGTCTGTTGTAATATTATAATCTTTTTAAAATTTTATGAGTATGTCATAAGTATGTCAGCCCTTGAAAATAACATGTGTAAGTATGGTTGTTTAGTTGTATATGTATCAACAAAATATTTTAACCAGTGGGCTGAAAAGGTGTGGAGTAATAATTATAAATTTTTATTGATATTTTCATTTTGCGTGCATGTTTTTGTAATTCTTATTATGTTTATGAAGGTATATTTTGAATCGTTTCTTCGTGGGGAATTGGAGGTTTGTCTTTGCCTCGTGACTGGTATATTATATCATAATAAGGTAAAATATTCTTATTATTGTTTTAAAGACTTGAACATCGTAAGCAAAAGTTTTATTATTACTGTTAATATGTACATGTTATTCTCAATTATTTGTAATTGGTAGCAAGCAATATTCCTTATACTATCAAAATTGCAGAGGTTTCCGAACAAAATTACACACACTATGTATGAACATTCTAAACAGTAACTATGATATCATCGTACTCACCGAGACTTGGCTGATATCGGAAATTAGCAACAATGAGTTTACCGATCAACGTTATATTGTGTACAGGTGCGACCGTAATCGTATCAGTACAAATAAACTAGATGGCGGTGGTGTTCTAATTGCGGTATTGCGTACACTCAGATCATCTGAGTTAAATCTGTCTTCGACTAGTGTAAATGTTTCATTGCATAACCTAATCGAACATGTCATCATCGACGTCTCTAGTACGCAATCCTCAAAGCGCCATGTCTTCAGTGCTGCTTACATACCCCCCCAAAACACCCTCTACCGTATACGAACTTCACTTTGAAACTTTACAAGAGGTACTGTGTGATCCTAATTTGGATGGTTTCTATATTTTGGGCGACTATAATCTCCCAGATGTAACTTGGACACGAGGAACCACAGACGCCTTACATGGCAGTGGAGTAGGCTCATCCGTTACCTTTAACCTATTATGTAATTTAATCTCATTTCTAGATGCCGCACAATACAACTACTTAGTGAATACCAAAAATAAAATACTTGATTTATGCATATCAAACCGCTCGTGTAAGCTATCGGCCGCTTTAAGTCCCCTACTTCCTGTTGACGCATATCATCCACCCTTTGTTTGTGATATAGCTCTCAATGCTGATATTGTTCCAATGAAAAAGCAGACGCTTCAAAGGTACAATTTTTATAAGTCCGACTACACGCACATCAACCGCAAAATAGAGTCCACTGACTGGGATGAAATACTTACTCTACTGGGATCTGAAGAAGCACTTAGCGCATTTTACGGAATCATTGACGAAATTATCAAACAACACACGCCATTTGTTGGCTCCAGAACCTCTGCTTTTCCTGTCTGGTTTTCGAAATCTCTTATTAGCACATTTAGAAAAAAACGTAAAGCTTGGGTGAAATGGAAGAAATATAACAACATATCAGACTATGAGATATTTTCCCAGTATAGAAAGTTATTTAAGGATATGTGCAATAAATGTTTTTCTAAATACATTGGATCGGTCGAGGATAGCATACGCAAAAATATTAAGGATTTCTGGGTATACATCTCTAATCGTCGTGACAAGTCTGGAATACCAGCCAAGGTTGAATATAATGATGATGTTTCAAGTGATCCACAAACAATATGCAACATGTTTTCTGAATTCTTCTCTTCCGTTTACGAACCGCCCTCACCTACACTATCGCAGTGGAGACCACCTGCCGATTTAGCATCCCATGACACTACTATTACTAATCTTCATTTTGAAGTAGAAAAGGTATTAAGAGAGCTGAAATCCTTGGATCCATCTAAGGGGCCAGGCCCTGATGGCTTATCTGCTTATTTTCTAAGAAACACTGCCACAGTTATATGTAAACCCCTAACTATCATCTATAATAAATGCATTACTGAAGGTGTTATGCCCACAGTATGGAAACAGGCTAACATCACACCTGTGCACAAGAGCGGATCTAAACGTAGTGTAGATCAATATCGCCCGATATCAATTTTGTCCACTTTGTCGAAGCTTTTCGAGAGACTAGTGCATAACGAAATGTATCCCATACTGCACAATATAATTATACAGCAACAGCATGGTTTCGTTAAACGTCGATCAACAACCACCAATCTATTATTATTTTCCAGCTATTTATTTGAAAATGTTGATGATCGCGTACAGGTCGATGCAGTATATACAGACTTTCGAAAGGCCTTCGATAAGGTGGACCACGAAATGTTACTAAATCGAATAGCTTACAATGGCATTCGTGGTAATTTGTTACGATGGTTTGTTTCTTATATCACTAACCGTTGTCAGAGGGTTGTAATTAATGGATACCACTCTAACGTTACGATGGTTACCTCCGGTGTACTCCAGGGATCTATTCTCGGGCCTTTGTTATTTATAATGTTTATTAATGACATAAGTAACTGTTTTCTCAACTCAAAATTTTTATTATATGCAGATGATCTTAAAGTTTATAAATCTATTCATACTACACAAGACTGCATTCTTCTCCAAGAGGACCTAGATAGACTTACAGACTATTGTTACAAAAGTAAGCTTCAGTTAAGCATTCCGAAGTGTAAATATCTGCGTTTTACTAAAAACAAGAATATTATTACATTTTCCTACTCACTGTGTAACGTTCCTTTAGCTAAAGTGGATTCTATGCGAGATCTCGGTATACTGTTTGATTCAAAACTGTGCTTAGACTTACATATTGAACAAATTGTTAACAAAGCATACAAACTATATGGATTTATTATGAGATCAACTCGCGACTTCAAACGGACCTCTTCATATCTTTGTTTATATAAAACCCTAGTTCGCTCTCAACTTGAATATGCTGTGCCCATTTGGAATCCTTATTATAATAAATATATACACAAAATTGAAAATGTTCAACGCCGGTTTCTACGTGCAATGCATTATAGATGTCATAAATCTCATTTACCGTATGACCAGTTACTCAGTAGATACAAACTTCTAACCCTCCACTCTAGACGTAAGCAATTGGAGTCTATGACATTGTTTCATATAGTAAGATGCAAATTTGACTGTATTGAGTTAAAAAATCTGTTATGTTATGTAGTTCCCAGAACTGTCCATAGACGACGGGTGCGTGCGGGTAAACTCTTTGCCGTAAGTACCTGTCGATCCAATACCGGTATTCGTTCACCAATTCGACGTATGGTTGCCACATATAATGAGACCTTCGAGCATATAGACATTTTTACATGCTCAAAGGAAAAGTTTCGTGGTCTTTTATACAAGACACTTTTCACATAATAATTTTGTTATATTAGTCACATTATAATATCACTGTTGACCATACTTTGACATTTGTATAATACCTTCTGTACAGCTGCAGGTCTCCTAGCGTCTTAATTATCTATCCCAAGAGGTAATCTGTGAACAGCACTGTGGGCTGCATTATTGCGTATACTATGTTACTGTACTATCTATATGTAATTATATATAATGTAGTTGTTAGCTGTTCCACTTTAAATAAAATAAAAAAAAACGTTCACCTCCTCCATCTCCCAAAATTTGCGGCCGAAATACTATCCATGATGGGGGCGAAACCAACGATGACATAGCCCAAGACGGTTTCCAATGCGTAAGGCGCGGTATGCGAGGAGTTGCCTCTGACCTTATTGTGTAACAAAAGATGAGGGAAAAGTGATGCTCAAATGAGCATGTCTATGTTTTCGGGGACGGCGTAAGTATCGTGTCCCAGCGTCAGATTTTCAAAATCAATCATTGCCGAGGTGTCAACCGAAACGGTTGGCAGACGTTCAGTGACTTTATCTACTACTAACGCATTTATATCAAAGTTAACATTACGATCTATCCGAGAATAAAATTTTAATTTATATATCCCTGGGTAACTTTATTAGTACCTCCGATGCCTTTAACTACGGGACGTGAAGGTGTCCTATTTATTGGCAATCCTAAGTGTTGTAGTTCCACGCGAATCCCTAACTACGATACGGGCTGTACCCAGTAACAGGGTTGAAGGAGGCTGTGTTCCCATATTCGACAATGAGCACAGAGCGACATCACCAGGTCGACCGCTAGAATCGTCGACTTTAGTAGGTGTGATTTCCTTGTCTGATTTACTTGACGCAAATATGTTGCTGTTTTCGAAATGTAATAATGTGTAATGTTTTCTGGCGCACTTGTTACACACAGAACTAGAATTGCATTTAGCAACTAAATCTCTATCGCTTAGGCAATTCAAACATAAGTTGTTTGTCCTTACTATTCTATAATGTTCGCTGGGTTAATGTTTACGAAAGGTCGCACAATTGTATATATTACCGTGTTGTTTATTTTTACATAGAACACAGGCGCTATGGGGCGATGCAGGCACGGCGGTTACGTACGTTAGAGACCCTGCGGTTTTAGGTGATGGAGTCTGTCTGCGGTCGACACCTTTTTTAACTTCTCGT